ATGTGGTGGTGGTAGAGAAGGGAGAGGGAGGTGGGGGGGGGACAACGATGTCTTGTGATGAGTAAATGTGATATTTTCTTTGGTTAGATCAAGTGGTTGGAGGGCCCCACTGGTAGGTCCTATTTCTTTACTTTCCCTCTGTTGTTTCTCTCTGTCTTTCTTGCTTTTTCCCAGCATCAAATGACCGTTATTGTGTCTATGTGCTTCTCTTTACTCGAACGACAAACAAACAAAAAGAGGCATTTTCTCAAAACAATTGTAATACTTTTGATTGAACAACGTTTTATGAGTGGATGGTAGGAAGCCCAACTGGTAGGTGGTTCTTTTTAACATTCATTTCTTTTGTTATTTGTGTCTGTCTGTCTTGTGTTTAATGACCTTTGTTGTATTATTGCATCAGCACCGTCCACCTTCACTTATAATGCACCCCCTCCCCCCACACAGACGCAAATACATACACACAAATAAGTGCCTACATAGGTGAAAATACAATTTGAACAATATTACTGAAAGCGTATTTGCACACAATGGCAGTTGTGAGGCAACGTGGTGGAATCAGGCTCTTGTCAATTTTTGGGCATGTAGAAGTATTGGTATCACCTTAAAGCTTGTTCACTTGTCTTTATTAGGATGAAAAAAATAATCCATTTATCTTGAATACAAGTTGAGATATTTGCGAAAGAAGGAGGTGGGGGTCACCTGTTTTCAGAGGGAAAATTAGAGAGAAAATGGCGGCCGAAGATTAGTTATTTCCTTAGCTTAATAGTCCTTGATAACTGAAAATATTTTTTTTGAGCCTTTAATCAACGATTTTCAGAAAAATTCACACAGAAATGAGTTCTTTAATGAGCATGAGAGGTGTTGAGCGAAAAAGCAAAAATTCGATAAAAAAAATCACCAACCTGCGGAAAAATGCAAGTTTCTTCACTTTGATTATTTTGACGAGAGCCTGATTCCACCATGTTGCCTCACGATTACTTGTTCCGAAGTAATTGTGTTGGGGTTTGTTTTGTTTTCTTCTATGACCTTGTACTACCTGATTTTTAACCTTACTACCTGAAATTGACCCTTTATCTCATGAAATCTGAAAATTGAGGAAGATACCACTAAACAAACTGACACTTTGTGTTTACATATGAAAAGAACGGGTGATTTTTTTTTGGGGGGGGGGGGCGGCACTGGTTGGTCCTACGTCTTTACTTTCCCTCTGTTGTTTGTGTCTGGCTGGCTGGCTTTTTTTTCTCAGCACTAAATGACCATAACTGTTCTTTTTTATTGATACAAACAATATAATTTGAGAAGACTTACTTTAAATACAGTTCTAACGGAAGAAGGGTATTTCAAATCTTTTAAGTTCTGTAATTTATATAGAAGCTCAGCTTCAGGAAAGCTGATAAAAATACACGGCTGAGATGTAGAGAACCGTCGCCGATGCCATGACGCATTGTGTTATGAACTTCGCCCCAAGAGAGCTTTCGTTTGTTCTGTCTCGTGTTCTGCTTGTTCGTCTTCCCCATGTTATTTTATTATCATTGCCTTTTGCTGCAACGTAGGGGATTTTGTGTTTACCTTGTCATGTTCTTCCTCTTATTTTCGGAGCTTTTCTAGTGTCCTAATCCATTACTGGCGACATCGTCCCGTTTGTCCCACTGACTTCTGTTATCTGTGTCCGACTTTGACATTGACTCATTATGCTGCGCTGGTTGGGGCCTGCAAGAGGCGCATATTTTCTTCTTCTTCTTTGTTGCTCTAACTGCTGTTTAGCGGTGGGGTTTATTTGAGGGGTTTTTGTTTGGGGG